AAGTCACTCTGGACCCTATCTCTGCCCTTAAGCGTATCTACCTCTCCCCCTAGCTTAGTGTCATCCGCAAACTTGCTGAGGGTGCAATCCATCCCCTCATCCAGGTCATTAATAAAGATATTGAACAAAACCGGTCCTAGAACCGAACCTTGGGGCACTCTGCTAGAAACCGTCCACCATCCTGACATCAAGCCACTGAACACTACCCGCTGGGCCCAGCCTTCTAGCCATCTTTCTATCTATCTTACCGTCCATTTATCCAATCCACATTCCCTTAACTTGCTGGCAACAATATTGTGGAAGACTGTATCAAAAGCCTTGCTAAAGTCAAGGTATATCACATCCACTGACTTTCCCACGTCCACAAAGCCAGTTACCTCATCATAGAAGCTAATCAGATAGGTCAGGCACGACTTTCCCTTTGTGAATCCATGCTGACTATTCCTACTCACTTTCCTCTCTTCCAAGTGCCTCAAAATGGATTCCTTAAGGATCCCTTCCATGATTTTTCCAGGAACCGAGGTAAGACTGATCGGCCTATAGTTCCCTGGATCGTCCTCCTTTCCTTTTTTGAAGAAGGGCACTACATTTGCCTTTTTCCAGTCATCCGGGACTTCTTCCGACCTCCATGACTTTTCAAAGATAATGGCCAAAGGCTCCTCGATATTTGCCAACTCCCTCAGTACCCTCGGATGCGTTAAGTCTGGACCAATGGATTTGTGTACATTTAGCTTTTCTAAATAGATCCTAACCTGTTCTTTACCCACCAAGGGCTGTCCATCTTCATCCCATCTTGCATCACTTAGCACATTAGTCCGGAAGCCCACCTTGTTCGTGAATACAGAGGCAAAGAAAGCATTGAATACTTCAACTTTCCCCACATCATCTGTCACTAGGTTACTTCCTTCATCCAGTAGGGGCCGCACACCCTCTCTGATCACCTTCTTCTTGTTAACATGCCTGTAGAAACCTTTCTTGTTATCCTTCACATCCTTAGTCAGTTGCAATTCCATTTGCGCTTTCACCTTCCTGATAACCCCCCGGCATTCTCGAGCTATACATTTAAACCTCTCCCTGGTCATTTGTCCAAGTTTCCACTTTTTGTAAGCTTCCTTTTTGTGCTTAAGTTCACCAAGACCTCCAAATCTTGGCAGCAGTAATTGAGCTGTAGCCAGCATCACTTTCTCAACATCAGATTTCTGTTCTAATTGACAAGTGATCGAAATGTTTACTGTTCAACTCTGAGATGAACAAAACTTAGTTAAATTTAAGACAACAGGATTTCTTAGGTTAAAATGCAATATAGTCAGCAGCAGAATTAAGGCTGTTGGGACTTGGAGAATGCATGATTGAATTGGTATGAGGATGTAACTCTTGTCATTCTTCCTAACACAGAGAGATTATTGCTAGTTTCCAGTTCAGAGTACTTACAAATAGTTTTGGAGGAGATGTGATTTGAGGTAAGAAAGATAGTGAATTTTTTTAACATTGTTTCCACAAAGTTTTGTGTGTCTTCCCATTTCATGAGCATGAAACTAATCTTGTCAATGTGCTACAAAAGAGTAAGAAAATATGCTAGAGGTCTTAAATATTAAAATACTATTCCATTCTGAGGTCTCTCTCTGCTATACCAGTGTGAAACTTTTGTCAGTCATTCTTGTCATAGAGGTGACACATGGAATCAATCAAATTGCTCCAAAAAATTTTGGCCTCACGGATTCTTGGTGTCACACTGTCTCCTAAATTCTCCAGCTTTTTCTCCGAGTAGAACATAAAAGCAAACTTTCTCTGTCTTGACTGAAAAATAGGTTACTCAGAATCAACAAATAAAATGAGAAAAGAGGACAAGAAATTTATAACTTGCAGAGTGCCTCTTCAACCCACAGCTACTAGGTCTATTTGCCTCTGTTGCTCTGAGGACTTCAAACCATCAGGTGACACTGACTTGGAACTTCCTGCTGTTCCAGGACCTTAGACCTCAAGATCAGCCAGGAGTTCTGACAGTCTTGTCTTGGCAGCCAAGAAACCTACAGAAGAAGTAGGAAATTCTGCTCCGTCTATTTC